CAATTAACTGCCAAATTTACTATTCATTTTTCAAGTATTAGTTAATGAGTAATCGTTTATTGACTTAATTAACTATGTCAGTGGTTAGGTGATTCATTTCCAAGCTGATATTTTTTCCTTTTTAAACTTGAGTTCCCAAAATTTGGTTATGGTTATGAACTGATTCTAACTTGGCAATTTTTTGCAGTTTAAAATGCGTGAGCCACAAATGTGCAATATTGTGTGTAATCTTAAACTTGATGCTAAAACTACTAAGGAGTTCAAAGAGAAGATCAGTGATGAGTATCGGGTGAACATGTATGTTATGCTGATAATTTATCTATATTTCCATCGAGTATTCTACTACAATCGTGATAGGTTTGTATCTTATAGTAGCTCTGCTTTTCATGCACAGGATCCTAGATAACCTTCCACTAGTTTTTCCCTTGAAACGGAATGATCAGGATTCTACTGTTTATCAGCTTGGTTTCCATGTTGGACTCAAAGGGCTGTATAGTGGGGTATGCTCATTTTTTGTATAGCAATATGGCTATTGTTATGAATTCCGACTAGTATTTTTGCTTATCTTGTCTGAATGTGCAGAGCAAGGAAGAGAAGTATTTTATTCACAACCATTTGGCATTTACTGTCAAGTACCACAAAGATGTGCTAACTGAATCTGCTAGAATTGTGGGCTTTGAGGTTAAGCCATTCAGGTCATTATTTTTGTGCCGTTGTTAATTTATTCCATATAATTTTCCACAATCATAGGAGTCTCGTGCATTGGGCTGCCCTTTTAACTGGTTTATCCTTTTGTGATATTTAGTATTAGTAGTGATTTTTCAAATCTGGATGTTGATCTGCAGTGTTAAACACGAGTATGAAGGTAAATGGGATGCAAAAACAACTCGTTTGACAACCTGTGACCCTCATACTAAACACACAGTTGTCAACTCCAACAATCCCCAAGAGGTTGAAGAGGGCAAAGAAATTATCTTCACGTATGATGTTGAATTCCAGGTGAGTTTATGGAGATGATAAATTAGTAAATGTGGTTACTTTAGAATGGTTCCCTGCAGTTATGGCATGAACCAAGAAGTTAAGTCATTTGATTTTAGCGGAGAACCTATGTTATGGCTAAGGAGATTAGATAAAATATTAAAAATCCTCTTGCACTAATGGTCATCGTTATAATTTTGTTGTCTCATGTTTAACATCCTCCTCCTTCTTTTGTTGTTATGATGAAATGTGATTATGGGCTGTATTTCTTATTATCTGCCATTGCCTTTGGCTGGTACCTTCAGGAGAGTGATGTGAAGTGGGCTTCAAGATGGGATGCCTATTTGCTAATGAATGATGATCAAATCCACTGGTTCTCAATTGTTAACTCATTAATGATAGTTCTCTTCCTTTCGGGCATGGTGGCAATGATAATGCTGCGGACACTGTACCGCGACATTGCAAAATACAATGAGCTTGAGACCCAAGAAGAAGCCCAAGAGGAGACTGGTTGGAAGCTTGTCCATGGCGATGTATTTAGGCCCCCAAGCAATTCAGATTTGCTGTGTGTTTATGTTGGAACTGGGGTTCAATTTTTTGGCATGATACTAGTTACCATGATGTTTGCTGTCCTTGGGTTTCTTTCTCCTTCAAACCGAGGTGGGCTGATGACAGCCATGCTCTTGCTTTGGGTTTTCATGGGGATATTTGCTGGGTACTCGTCAACTCGTTTGTACAAAATGTTTAAAGGATCGGAGTGGAAAAAGCTTGCCCTTAGGACTGCAACCTTGTTCCCTGCAGTTGTCTCTGCCATTTTCTTTGTATTAAATGCTCTCATATGGGGCCAAAAATCATCTGGAGCTGTGCCATTTGGTACGATGTTTGCTCTGATCTTTTTATGGTTTGGGATCTCAGTTCCACTTGTTTTTGTGGGTAGCTATGTCGGATTCAAGAAGCCTGCGATTGAGAATCCTGTGAAAACAAACAAGATCCCAAGGCAGATCCCTGAGCAGGCCTGGTACATGAACCCAGTATTTTCAGTTCTTATTGGTGGAATACTCCCATTTGGAGCTGTTTTCATTGAGCTTTTCTTCATCCTCACCTCAATCTGGTTGAATCAGTTTTACTACATCTTTGGATTCCTCTTTTTGGTCTTCATCATCCTCATTGTCACTTGTGCTGAAATAACCATTGTGCTCTGCTACTTCCAGTTGTGCAGTGAGGATTACTTGTGGTGGTGGCGGTCATACCTTACCTCTGGTTCCTCTGCACTTTACCTCTTTCTTTATGCAACCTTCTACTTCTTCACCAAGCTTGAAATCACAAAGTTGGTATCTGCGATATTCTACTTTGGGTACATGCTTATAGCTTCTTATGCATTTTTTGTGGTGACCGGTACTATCGGATTTTATGCATGCTTTTGGTTCACTAGGCTCATCTACTCCTCAGTCAAAATTGATTAGGTATAGCATTCAGCGGTTTGGGCTAATCTACTATACTTCTTAAAAGGACGAAGAAAGTTTGTGTAAGGATTTTGAAATTCAGGCACTAGCATGTTCAGTTGTAACCTATTCTATACAATTTTGAATTGTGAAGACAGTGATTCTTTTGTTTCAGTATCATTTTATTTTAATTGCCTTTGTCGAAGTAGGATTCAACGTTTGAATACAGATTTTAGGTTGGCTGTACTTTGTCCAAATCAGCCGTTTTCTGTGGCAGATGTTATATTTAGAGCAGTTATCTCAATAGAAATGAAATATCATCAACGTTCGAATGCCTGAATATGTATGGAATGAAAGTGAACATGAGATGATGAAATTAAGAAAACCCTTGCCAGTTTCCCTATTCTTGGTAGTGCATACGATGAATTACTCTTCCACATTCGACAATTTATTGTTACCAAGAATTTAGAGCTGGATTAAGATTGTTATTATGGCCTAGAGCTTTCGTTCTCTGGAATTCAACGAAATATAATATTTCAATTATTCTCAATAATAAATTTTGTTTGTTTGTGTGCTGGAGAATACACATCGACCAAGATCAATATAAATTAGAATGGAAATTTTCCAAAATATAAGATAATGTAATATGTTTTTCTTGTATATTTTTTGTCTCTTGATTAATTGAAAAATTTGCAACGGTTTCTACGAAATTATTTCAAAAGATATTACAATGTAAAAATCTATATGGTGGATTTATATATATATATATATAATAAGTACAGAATTATGTTAAGTGACTCAATAAGTATTTCTTTCGAGATGTAAATAAAACATTTGAAACATGAGAACCCTGTTGTTATTTTTAAGTATAATATACGAATTTCTTAATATGGTGAATATAAAAATAAAGTATTCAATTAAGTTGTCATAAAATAGGAAAAAAAATGGTTAATTATTTGTTGAACTCAACTTATATCCGAAATTCTTTATTTTTTATATTTTCCTTTGAGAAGGAAGTTCTATATTTTATTAAGATAGAATACGCACACAAAAATAGATATGGCAATAGGTAAGACTTCATAGGGTGAATAAGTTTATGTTTAGAAAAATGTTTAGATTAAAAAAAACTGTGAATGTAGTTTTTATTTTTTATTTTTATTTTTTTTAACTTCAGTTGAATTAACTCAACTGATTTTTAAACATATTTTTAGCAGTATTAATATCCATGTTTAAGAAAGAAAGAAAAAAACCTATATTGAGCATACTCTATCTCAAATACCAATTTTAGTATTTATGTTCATATATTTAAATTCAAACTATTACTTGTTTGAATTAAATAAAAAATGTTTCTCTTTTCCAATGTATCTTTTTTTTTTTTTATAAAATTAATAAGACAACAATAATACTTTTAATTAAAATTAATCGTAAAGATATTGAAAAAATTAATAACAAATACAAAACATAATTAATTTTTTTTAATATATAGAGGTGTAAAATAAACAAAATAAATATTATATTTGATTACCAATTTCATCTAACTCAGATGGTTAATTAAAATGTATGAATGTCTTAATTTATGTTGTTTTATATATATATATATAAACGTACCAAGTTCAATTCATATAAATAAATAAAGTATAAATTTTTTTAATTTATTTTACTAATTAAAAATTGCACTTAAGAGTTTGTTTAACTCAAATCTCACTTTCCAATGCATGTTTAGTGTTTAGTTCCTCTCTCACAATAATTAAATATTTATTATATATAACTAAAATTTATAATAAATTATATATAAATAAATATTATATTTAAATATGTAAGTTATTTAAAATTTGTTTAAATAAATATTTTAAATATATAAATTATATTTTAAGTTTAAAATAAATAATTTATTTATGGTACAAAAGTTATTTTTCTAATGATAATTAATTTTAGAGATCCCTTGTGCGTGCATGCGTGCGTGTAATTATAACCCCCTATATTCTTTATATATATATATATATGTGTGTGTTATGTAATTTTAAGCTTATTACTTCTAGAAAATAAAAAAAAACTTATTTTTTTTCTTCTAAAATATAAAACTACTATTTATGTTAAATAAACTAATATATGCACTAATTATTTAATAGAAAACTCACAAAACAGAAAATATAATATTATTTTTATTTATTAATAATTTATTTTTAAATATTAAATTTAATTCGTAATCAATTATTATAAATAAAAAATTAAAAATAATTTAAAAAAAAAACTTTTTAAATGATTTTTATAAAATTAAATTTGAATCATTAAATATTTAATGATTATTAATATTATTATTTGATAGGAAATGAATCCAAATTCGAAAAAAAAACTGTTAAAAATATTTTAAGGTACAATTAAAAGTTTGTGTTTAATATATATACACGTGGAGTGGATCACTCAATCGCTATGTGGAGTTTGCATTTGTATTTTGCAGTGACAGCATCGGCACTTCCTTTTTACCGTTGCGATGATGACAAAAACAGAGGGTCCACTTGCTGTGCTGTCTTCTTACTCTCAACGGCTACTTTCTCCCTTCTTCATCGCCATAAATACAAACTCCAAACACCCCACCATTGCAAACAACCACTTTCTGCTTTCTCGTCTAGCAAAGGTAAAATCTTCCATGGCCGCTTTCTCTGCTTCTTCTCTTTTTCTCCTTTTCCTTCTCTTTGGCTTCTCTGCAGCCAAGGAACTCTTGGTCGGAGGCAAGATAGATGCATGGAAGATTCCTTCTTCCGAGTCAGATTCCCTCAACCAATGGGCTGAAAAGTCTCGTTTCAGAGTCGGAGATCATCTTGGTAACATCCAAAGCTTTACCCTTTTTAGAAAGTTCCTCAATTTACTTATTTTTCGTTAAAATTAAGGTTAACCCTTTTTAGAAAGTTCTTAAAAGACCACATTTTCCTTTCTCTTTTTTACAGTGTGGAAATATGAGAGTGGGAAGGACTCAGTGTTGGAGGTAACAAGGGAAGGTTATGCTAACTGCAACACCTCCAACCCCATTAAGGAGTACAGTGATGGGAACACAAAGGTGAAGCTGGAGCGTCCTGGAGCATTCTACTTCATCAGTGGAGCAAAGGGGCACTGTGAGAAGGGGCAAAAGGTGATTGTGGTGGTTATGTCTCCAAGGCACACATTCACTGCAGTGTCTCCAGCACCTTCTCCAGCAGAAATGGAAGGTCCAGCAGTTGCTCCTACTAGCAGTGCCACAATGTTGAAACTTGGCCTTTTCAGTGCTGTGGGAGTGTTGGCTATGTCTCTGGGTTTTCTCATGTAAATGAATTGCCCCATCTCATTAGCTATTAGGCTATGTTTGTGGGTATTCTGAGTCTCCCCATCTCGGATAGTAAGATATAGTGAGGCTGTTGTAATCTGTGGTCGTATTCTTTTTGTACCGAATACATTATTCTTTCTTCAAAATTTATGTAAGAAAGTTTAGTATTCAGGATATATATATAAAGTAAAGATAGCTTCTGCCTTCTTATATTTATGTTCTGGCCTCTGCTATATTAATTGAATTGAACAGAGTAGCTGCGAGAAAACTTATTTTTAAGAATTCTTAAAAGAGTTAATCATTTATACAGTATAAAGTTTTTTACACCGACAACCAATCATATCTTTTAAATTATTTTATTTTATTTTTATTTCATTAAATGAGCAACTGACATAATATTATTAAAAGATATAACTGATTGTTAATGTAAAAAAACTTTAAATTTGTAATTAACTCTTCTTAAAAAGTGGAGCAAGATAAGAATTCCTAAATAATTCTTTTTTAACTTACTTTTTACGCGTCACATTTTTCTCTAAATAATTAATTAAACACGTCACCCATGGATTAAATATCAGTAATTCTTTAAAAAAATAAAAATCCGCGTCACAAATTCAAAAGAGTTATTAAAAAAGAGTTATTAAAAACACGAATTAAAAAGAGTTAATCATCCATACTGCTAATATAATTAACTCTTAAAAAAAATAATCTAGCTTATTAAAAACTTGTTCAAAAAGCTTAAATAAAAATATTAAAACTTAAATATATCTTTTTAATCCTTCATGTTTAAGATATTTTTTTTTAATTATATAATTTTATAAAAAATTATTTTTATCATTATACTCAAATTTTGTTAAATAATCAATTAAATACTGTGACATAAATAATTGATAACATATTAATAAAAATATCGCATTAAGCTTAAATAATCATGCATAATTGATTCAATCTGTCACTTCTACGTATATTATTGATAACTTAAAAGACTAAAATAATATTTTTTAAAATTACATAAATTAAAAATAATTTTAAATTTGAAGAACAAAAACAAATTTATCCTTAACCTAAGGAATTAAAAACATATTTAAACCAAATATTTATACAATTAGTGAGGGAAAAAAATAAGAATAAAAATTAAAGTTAAGGCAAATTTTGTACATTTTAATATTTTTAAGTATCTATAAACTTTAGCCAAAAGTCTCAAGAGAAATCTAAGAGCTTCGTCATTCAAAATTTCGCCATATACAAATCCAACCTTTAAAAACAAAAAAGCAGAACCCGTCAAATGTCACAAGCATGCATCTATTGAAAAAACCGGATAATGAGAGTTTTCGTCGCCATCCCGAAAAGCAACGCTGTGGTGTTCCCTCCTTATGGACATTGCTCCATCTTGTTCACGCACACTGAAAATAAAATTTCGAAAGAATAAAATCTCAGACACAATAAAAGGACTAAACAAAAATATTAGAAATCCGCAAATTATGGCGATCCAAATACGTGTAATTTACAAAACAAGCAAATTAGACTTGCACGCTGTGGAATCTCATGTCCTGGCTTTCACAGATTATCTTCGGTTTGAGCACATTTATATGTGCATACAAACTTTGCACGAAACAACCAAACACAAAAATAAATAACTCAGAAGTAAGCCACTTTGTTCCATGTATTTAAATTGATTTATCCATATTATATTAGGAGCACAAACCAACTTGTTCAAGCGTTTCCCCCAAAGGCCAATCCAGTTTACGCATGCATCCCATGATTACAATAATGACAGTCAGAGAGATATTCTCACACTTTAAAATCATAATCTATGGCAAGTAGCATGTGACCGTGCTAAGAAACATGATATCTACAATATGATTTTGAGAGCTTTTTACATAGGCTAACTGATGATTACAAACTACATTTCTAATAGTCCCCCACAAATTGGAAGGTGTTCACAACACTTTTAGCTTGGAATGAGCAATACATGTAACAAAACAAAACACAATGAAAGATGTCGAAAATGCATCAGTTAAGAAGTATACAAAAGTTAAAACAACAAAGCCAAATGATGGAATCATGCTAAGGAGGTCAAGATGTGACACATTGAAAGACTCAAGAGGAATGAGCTAGACATGAAAATTTGGGTTAGTTCAAAGCCTGATGGGCCCAGTGGGCCCAAGTTACTCCTCACATGAGCCACACCCTGAGATTTCCAGTGTCTTTTATTGTAATATTAGTATAATATAATATTAGTATACGTTTCATATATTTTGATCTTGTATTGGACCACATAGATTAGGATTTTTAGGCCATAAGCCTTTAGAGTAGGAAATTGGAAGGAATAATAAAATAGGTAAGTAATGCCAAATCTAGGTTTCATTTAGGAGCCATTTGAGTTGAATTTGGATCACATGTTTTAAGCCATGGGTGGCTGAACATGTGCGCTATCAAATCAACTTCAAATGCTTGTTAAATGTAACTTAGATGCATCTTGGAGCCATGATTCATGGACATGCGCATGGTGGCTGAAAATTTGAATTCAAATTTTCATTTGAATTCAAATTTTGGGCGTCAATTACATGCCATGTGAATTGGCGCCAAGTGCCTTGGATCCGAGCCTATTTAAGTAGCCTACCTTCACTCTTGTATTCACTTTTGCTATATGAGAAATCTGAAAGTTCACTTCAACCATTTTCTCTCCAAAAGTCACCGAGTTCCTTGATTTAGCTTTAGGAATCCTAGAGCTTCTAAGGCTAGCCGTGAGCACTCCTTTGTGCTTCTAGCTTGAGTGCTTCCTTCTTAGTTTAGGTTCACTCCAAAATTGTCCTCATAGCTGGTTCAACATTCCGGATTCAAGACTCAAGGAAGAAGATTGTGTTGAAGGAGTAAGGCAAGGGAAGATCAACTATCACTTCACCTCCCTCACTCCATCACCAAAAGACACAAACTTAACCATTATCTAGAAGGTATAACACAAGGCTTAAGCACCTAAATGGCAGAAGCAAAACAATGATAAATGCTTAACCACCCACCATAAGGCGGAAGCAACAAAGTTTAATCAACAAAAACAAAAGCCAAAAATAATACTTAACAACTCAAAATAGAAGCGAAATATGATTTAAAGGCTTAACCATTTATGGCAGAGGCTTACATCAAAGGAAGTTACAATAAACCAAAACTATAAATCTGCCTTCAATGAGAAAAATACAAACACCTTGGTGAGCAAAACATCAAAGTGCCACAAAGAGGGGAAGGGGCACTGAAGGAGAAAACAACCCCATTGATGAGCGAGACCAATGTTATAGACTCAGCCATACCAATTTCCCACACATCTGATCAGGGACAAGTTCCCTAAAGAAACAAGACTCCAAGAAGCAGCAATCTTTCAAGAAAGAATTGCTCGAGATGCAGGAAATGCTGCAGCAATTGTGTCTTCAGCAAGAGACCCTTTGAGCATGAGACAAAATCTTCAGGTTCAGGGTACACAACATCCCCTTTCACATTTTTTTTATTATCTAGAAGTATCAAAGGCCTGTAAAATGGAAGATAGGCCAAGAACTGAGACCAAACATTCTTGGTAAATGTAAATCAATTATTTTGCAATATTGCCCAAAGTGAAATAATATCTCCAAAGAACCACTAAATTGAAAACCATTGCATTTTAACAAATAATAGTGAGGTGAGAAAGGGAGAAACCATATCCTCCCACACACGCCACTGTATTAAAAAAAAAAAAAAAAACCAATGTTGAACAGGACATGAAGGTAAGTCTCAAGAGCCGCAGCAACAACAGCAAATTTCAGAGTAAGATAAACCAGCTTGAGGTGATTTTGAACAATGGGAGAAATCCGATGGAAGTTCTTGAGTATCGTAATTCCATCAGTTTCTTGAACTGAAGAAGGATTTGATTGCAGCTATGGCTTTTGATCGCAAACACAAAATTGATCAAAAAGAAAAAATGAATGAAGAGTATTTCTTATTTTTGGAAAGGAAGAAAAAAGATCTGATAAAAAGAATAACAAATGATTAGTTTGATTTCTCTGGGAAAAACAAAAAGAAAGTAAATAAAAGAGAACAAACGAATAAGCAGCAGAAAAGAAAAAATCTAAGGTAGGTGGTATGGCTCTAATACCACCATGTTAAAAAACATGATTCAGAGGGTAGAAAAAGCGAGAAACTGATATAGAATAAAAGAAATACTATATGATTGAATCCGAAAGTGTATTTACAATATGGTTGTGAGAGCAGGCCAACTACTGATTACAAACATCTCTAATAGCATACAAATTGCTCTTTAATTTCAACTTTCCCAATGAGTTGTGATTTATCATCCAAAGAAAAGCAGCTGACTGGATTAATTGTGTAAAATTTCCCTTAGTAGCAGATTCACATTGTTTTTTGCATTAAAGACCGTATGAGTGAATGAAGATTTAAATTACAGATCAATCACAAACTATGTTCAAGCTTTTGTCTAAACCCTAAACATCAATTACCCTAAACCATCATGTTCAAACATTTTCGTTTATCCAATTTACTTCAAAAACAGGCTAGAGGACGGAGTCTCTTTGTATATAAAACCAAAGAAACATTCCCTCTTCAATCATATATCAATCTCAAATAGCGGCTAACCCCAAAACGCTAGTGGTACAGCACTGGGATGACTGCTATTTTGAAATGTTTTATACAGTTTATATAATTCATACTAAATATGCATAAATGCTGAAATTTATTTTTAAAAAATGTTCAAAAAATCTTGGCATGTTTATAATTAACAATAAAAAGTTATAGGTTGTACGCTCTTAACCTAACATACCAGTAAATAGTAACAAAGGATGACTCGTGACTAATCAAAGAGAGAAAAAAGGAGTAAATACGTTTTGGTCTCTGGGAGATAAATGAACAAAACAAAACCTCAGAGTCGGACTAAGATAAAATAAACAGAGAAGTAGAGAACGTGAACTAGTGGAACAAAGAGAACAAGAGAAAACACCCAAAAAAAAAAGAACTCAAAGTAGAGAGGCAAAGAGACAGGAAAAAAAATTAACAGAAAACAGAGATTGATGAGAACAAGATAACGAGGAAAAAAAACTGCTAAATGGGCTGCTAGAGTCACCAGAGGATCACACTGGTTGACAGAAGGTCATCCAGTAGTCGCAGGGTACTGGAGGAGAAAAGTGACGCATCATAGTTATGAACTTTTAAAGGGTTACTTTACAAGCTGAAACCTTTTTTTTACCCAAAATTAGCTCCATAAAATGCCCCTCTAACATTAATATTGGGGGCTATTCTAAGGAATGTGGACACCATTAGCATAACAGTGGATAGCGCTGTGAAATGCCACTATTGTGGCTGCTTCAGAGAAGTGTGATGCTATGGCAGTACATATAGCGCTAGGAGTCACTATGCTGCTATAGAACACTATTGACAAGCTATGCTAATTTAATCATACAGGAATTTCCAAATGTTGGGAAAGAAATTTCTAGTTGCAACCACTTTTCAAAATTTGCCTACAAATTAATATCTGCAAGGAAATATATCTCAAAGAAAATATATCTCAAGGAAAGTATATCTCAAAGACAGTACAACTTAAATTAGTTTTTAAGAAAAAAATTGTCCAGAGGTCCTTGAATATTTTGTCAGCAACTAAAATTTAAATTTGATGTCCCTTATAATTTGCACTGTCACAAGGACTGGTTTGAGTTTTGAACTGAAATTAAAAATATTGGAGGATAGGAGCTTGATACATTTTCAAGGACTAATTTGCTTTCATCATTACATTTGAAGAAATTATTTGGCAATTTACTTGATTATTACAAAAGCATCTACGTACTAGTAAAATGTTTTGATCATCAAACAAAGATTCTACATTATTTTAAATTAAACGGCAGCAATAAACAGCATGTGATACATAAAATTCCTCAGTTGGAAAGACGGCAAAACATGATTTTATTCACGAGGCAAATGAACATGGTAAAATCAAGCTTTAGTGATCAAGTTCTAGCAACATGAAACCTAAATATGCTTCCATCAGCAATAAAGAGGGGTTTACCTCCAATTGTTTAACCAGACTGATGCATCCAAAAATAAATTTTGTTGTTGACAGTGGCACTACATTTTATTTCTCTTTGGACTTTTAATGGTGCTTTGCTATTAAGATGGGTGCTCTAGCTCAGCTAATTCTATCCACATCAACAATATTTCAGTAATGCCACAAATTATAACCAAAAGCTCCAGCTCACAACTCATGACAATTAATTTTTGTTTTACTTTAACATTATTTATTATACTCATTCCCTACAGTGCCACTAAGTAACACAAATGATACCAGTCCATTCTCCCAAATATTGTGAGACTGAAAGAACCATTAATGATATGAAAAAAAGTGCAAAACTAACATTCCTTTCACATTTTGTTTGTCTCAATCTCAACAATTTTATATCCAGTTGAGTGGAAGTTGATGACTTTCCAACTTAAGAGTGTTATCCAACCCAGATAGTAGTGCACAACAGCAGACCCCAAAAACACGTGGGATAGCGGGATGATCACTATTCTTAACTTTTTATACAGTTTATATATTGTACATTATATACATGTAAATTCTAAAAGATGATAAAAATTACTCAAAAGTCGTGACATTTATTAGGGAGGGAACAGGTCTCGCCGGGGCTAAAGACACAATACAGGGAGGCAGCAGGTCTCATTGCTGGAGAGAGGAGATAAGATGGATAAGATAGTCGGGAGAGATGAGACATGAGCGAAAGCAGGTCCCACCCCCTTTTTGTAGTGTTTTTTTCTCAAAAACCCCTAAAATACCCCCCAGAAAAGCCCTAATGTCTAACGAAGGCTTTTTTTGGGATCTCAGCAGTGCAGTGCTATGCTGCCATGATCCTCACTATTTCCACTGTGAAAAGGGCAATGCAGATGCTACATTGAAGCGCTCTGTGAAGGCGAGCACCGTAGCAGCCAGGAAACTCTCCACTCCACAACGGCACAATATCATTATGATAGCAATGAATTCCATTTCCAATAATAAAGTTTAAACTGTAAAGCATACCTAAAATGAATACCGTACACGTGTTTCGTGTGCAATACCATACAGCCTTCAGTTTAAATTCAATCACAGTTTACATGTGTTACAACTAACAACTCTCTAAACTGCAATAATTTCAAAATTGATATTACCAATTATTTTATTTAACAAAAAGGGCTAACAGATGACAACTTACAGTTACAATAAATTCATAGATTTACTGTACGTGTCGAAAATCAAGATAAATCTTGAAAGACAAATCCTCAATGTCAACTATTAATTATTAAATAATTAAATAATAAATAATAAATTACAGTAAACTGTAAAAGTAGTCTATTTCTTTATATCTAGTGGCTCCAATCATCAAATGTTCAACAAGTTCCTAACTGGCAGTTCACATATACCTAGTAGGTGCAATGACAGATTTGCAAAGATCCCATAAAATATGTTGTACGTTCAGAATTCATTTTAACACTGATAAGAGAAAATTCCTAAAATATAAATCACATTCGCACCACAGTTACTATAACAGAAAACATTCTGAGGGCAAAATAAGCAAGAACATCACAAGAAACTCTACCAGAATTCAGGAAGATCAGGACACAGGCAATTCATCATCATCATCCTCCGAAATGTCAACTTGTAATGGTCCCTTAATACCGCCACTGTTGTCACCAAGAAGCTCCCGGGCTGCTTTCTCCAGAAACTCCTTGGCAGCCGTTTGAACAGATTGTTGTTTCTCAGAAGATTGATACTTCCTCTTTTGACCTGCACGACCTAGATGGTTCATCTTTGGTCTCTCCCCTCTACTAATGTTCCTCATATTTTCCCTTTGCTCTGCATAAAATAAACCACTTCTCTTTGGTCTTCGTATACACTAGATCAAACCGGAAGAGACACAATAGAAGACTCTCAAAAGAAATGAAACAATGACAAAACTTAGATGCAATTCCTTAGGTATTTTGGTAGTGCTTGCATGCTGAAAATCTATAATGACCTCTAACAAAAACCTTTATAGCATGAATTACCATGACAAAACTCTAATTTTAATCAGAGAAAAACATTATAAAAAAAATTAAAGAAATGCATCCATGTTTTGTCCATAATATAATTCACCACTCACCTGGAGTTAGGTCAGGCAGAGAGTGCTCTATGAAGCGAGTAGCAGCCTGATAATTCAAGGTAGTAGAAGGTCGTAGTGGAGCTTCACAACCAAAACCAAAAATCACTCAAATTCAGATAATTCAAACTTGAAAAACAATCATACCCTTCAATCCTTCATGTATGAAACTAACTCCATTTTGAGAAAAGAAAGAAACATGTACCTCTACTCAAATCAAGCAACCGTTCCAGTTTGTCCTCGTACACGTCCAACCTATCCTGGAAACACAAAAATAAAAAATTTCAGCAAAAGATAAGGTTATAAAAACAAAATCATCAGAAACTCACGAGCTCTGATTTGACGGGGTGGTCATCTGGGTGGACACCACTGCACCTCACGTTCACTGGAGAGAGCGAAAACCAAAGAGAGAGAGACAATTAAGGTAGAATCAAACGCGAAATTGTAACAGAGATTATAAAAAAGATGAGTTATTGGATTACGTGCGAGGAGGGTAGAAGTGATTTTGGAGAAGATGAAGAGAGAGTGAGCGCGCTGAAGAGGTGGCATTTGGGAGAGAAGTTGAGGGTCGGAGAGAGACAGAAAGTGTTGAAAGTGCGTTCGGAGTTGTTGGAGGTTGGAGAGGGTGCTGTTGACTGCATCCATAACCCCTTCAGGAACTGCACCGCTTTCACTTCCTTTCACCATTGCAAATATTCAGAGACAAAGGGTAGGGCTCGGATTTTGGATTTACAAAAAACGAAGAATCAAAACACAGACTTTATGAGTGAACTAAGCAGCCACTCCTTAGTCCTTTCTTTACCTCGAACCGTTTAAATAGGTCTGCGTTTGTACTTTTCAATCATGGCTTTTTTTTAATAAAAAAATGTGCTACAAATTAACTTTGCATCTAAAAAATGTTTTCAAAATAAGTGTAGTATAATTAGTTTTATTTAATCTATATTGTAAAATGATTCGAGGTATATTTTGGAATTTATATAAATCTTTGTATGGGATAAATAGAAAGACATGTAAGAAATAGAATGAATAAAAATAGGTGAAAGAAATAAATTAAAAGTTAGATGAAATTTTGGATTGTTATTTTTTTTTTATATCATTATGAAAAGTACCAAAAAAAATATATTGCTTTTACACTTACTCCTAATAAATGTTATTTACATTATGTCTATTATCAATTGCTGAAAAATATGAGGCAAGAATTTCAAATAAATAAAGATTGTTTAATTTAAGAGGAATTTTAATTCAAATAAAAAAAAAGGAAGTTAAATTATTATGATATTCTTTGTTGTGTGTTAATATTACGTAACAAGTATACATGTAAATTTGTGATGAATCAATTAATGTGTAAATTTAACTAAATATAGTTGATTTTGTAATTGGTTAAATATAAGTTGCAGGAAAAAAATGAACGATAATTTAATCTTGCACATTTTTTATATAATAAATCAATATGTCATTATAATAAATCAAGATGTCATTATTAGGAATACAATTTATTTGATGGTGTTACTTTTAAGAGTACAAGTTTAATCACTTATACTATGATTTGAATTGATTAAACTTGTACTTATATTACAAATGAGAGACTAATTTCATCATCTTATATCCAATGTGAGTTAATTTCTTTGTTGTTTCGGCACATAGCATGAAAGAAAAAATAAGTGAATTTTATTAATTTTAAAATTTTATTAGCTCTATTTTACTTTAACTAAATAATCTCTCATTTTACTTTCATGATAGATATTACGGTAGACTACAAAGTTACATGGTTCATGATGGACTAAATTTTTTATTATTTTAATTAATTTAAAACTACAATTGTAACCTTGACATGATGTACTTTCTTTTTCCACCATATTTGTCTTGCTCTTTATTCTATTTTTTTACTTCTAAGCAATGCTCGCCACTATAATCATTTTCAACAATTCCTCTATTATTTTTTCATTTATGCATCGCATGATCATCTCTAACCTCAAAAATGACTTTTCGATTTGTAAGATCCCAAGCACACCAAAATTAGAGAAATCTAGAAATTGTATTGTTAAGAATAACTTAAAAAAAATAAATTAATACTACCTATATCAACAATATACATTTATTTTTCAGTAACTCATCTCTTAAGGACTCAATGAGCTTAACTTGGAGCGATCTAATGATGAGTCATTTTATAGAAAGTTTCCTAGTCATCATGTGTGAGTGAGGACAAAGTATATTAAAGAGTCTTGTGTTAGTTTTGAAAATAGTCAACAGTCCTGAAGACAATTAGACATCTTAGAAAGGGTTACACTTGAAGGATTACGACTAATGAATGGTTTTAAAAAGCGAGGAATTGAGTGAAATATCTATAGTATATCTACTAAGATTTCAAATCTAAAAGGCATTACAGGATCAACCATAAAAAAAATGTCACATTCAAAAGCATCGTGTGGAGTTGCACAACAAAACTTTTGGAAAGGAAATGGACTAGTAGTAGCACTACCGGCTACATATAAAGTAAGTGTGTGGTAGTCTACAACTAACAAGAAGGAAGAGAGAAGACACATTTCAAAGTTCAATAGTAACAGAAGGAAAGAGGACAAAAAAAAGAATGAAAGAGAAATGGAGGGGAGAGGGACAAAATAGGTAATATATAAATTAATTTTAATTATTAGAAATTAATATTTCATGTAGTTCTCAATATAAGCAAAAAAAACATTGATTCGCGCTAACTAATAAAGTTAATTTACATCATTTAATTTTGTGAATCTCATCTAAAAATAACTTGTTTTCCTAAATTACTTTACTTGAAACTTGATATATAATTTTTTTATCTATTAAATTATTATGATAACACTAAGATTCGAGTCTAGCACCTTGTATATATTATTTTAAACTTCGACTATTAGGCTAACTCTAATAAATCACTTTATAAAAAATAATTAAATAAAAAAATATTTTAGAGATCGAACATTAAATATGATAGAATTGATTGATATTTGTTTATATTTAAAATAAATAAAACGATTTTTTGAAAAGATGTTAGAGTAATTTTTCAATACTATTAATATTAATATTCTATTAATATTTTTTAAGAATAATTCCTAAAAATAATATTATATAAAAATATTTATTTTAAATTATATATAAAAAGTATAAAATAATAAATATTATAATCAGAATTCTCAATAAAAAAATATACAATTATATAAAAAAATTGTGCAACATAAATAAATACCCACCCTCAATTATAACATTTGAATTATAAAATATGAAGAATTTAATACAAAGATTTTTTTTTTCAATTCAATATTGATAATTTCATCAAAATAATTTAAATTTTATTTATATTTTTTTATAAAAGGATATTAATATGTGTAATTATTTTTTATCTTAAGTTTTTAGTAGACTATTATATTTCTTAAATATTAAAAAAAAAATAATCTCTCATATTTTCTTTAAATAAGACACAAAGTGTTTTTTTTTTCTGCTAATAATAATTATTATGAAGACACATTAATAACAAATAGTTATATTAATTATTATTTTTAAATCATAAAGTAGATGTAATATGATTTATAGATAACTTTATTTTTAAACGATTAAGAGACTCCTTGTTTTTTTTTAAAAAAAAAACTATTATTTTTAAAGTATTGATTAAAGAATTGATAAATAATTTTTCTAAATAACAATTTAATGTGCTGATTAGCATTTATCCAACAAACATATAAACATTTTATTTGATAGTAAAGTTTGACTGATAAGGGTACATTCGTATCCTCACCTGTCACCTCACAATCGGAAGGAGTGAACCTTAGCCGGGACATGCTGATATTTTCGTCGCAAAAATATCCAAAACTAAAACTTGATGGAATACTAACATAGCAAACTATGCGCTTTTGATGTTTGGCTGTGTTTCCGTCTCTGAATAACCATAACTATCTGTGCTGCTCACTTTGCATACCCAATTCCGGTGACAGGTTCATACACTACTCTTCAATGTGCTTGTTCTGAATTTCACTCTCTCCTTTCGCTGATTATTATTGGAATTTTGCATTTCTATGGCTGTTTTAGTGCTCTGTTCTTCAACCATGTGTTGTAGTGGTTTGTCCTCTTGTCTTGCTTTGAATGACACCAATGTTTATGTCATGAGCAACAATGGGTTCTTTGGAGGAACCCCATCTGTCAAAATGAATTTTTTTCCAAATGGGTCTTTGGTAAATTGGAAGAAACATGGAAAAAGAAAATTGGGTCTCCGTGTGTTTGAGACAAGACGTGCCCATGAAGTGGTTGTGGTAAATGGCAATAGCAAAACTGGAGTGTCTTCTGAAGAAGTTATTGGCGTTCTGAAGTCAATTTCGGATCCAAATTCTGCTCTTTCGTACTTTAAGATGGTTTCCCAGTTGCCCAACCTTGTGCACACCACTGAAACATGCAATTACATGCTTGAGTTCTTGAGGGTTCATGGGAGGGTTGAGGATATGGCTTTTGTCTTTGATTTGATGCAACAGCAAGTAATTAACAGGAATCCAAATACATACCTGACTATTTTTAAGGCTCTTTCGATTAAAGGTGGGATTCGACAAGCACCATTTGCACTTGGAAAGATGAGGCATGCTGGGTTTGTCTTGAATGGATATTCATATAATGGACTGATTTATTTCTTGCTCCAACCTGGCTTTTGTAAAGAGGCTTTGAAGGTTTACAAAAGAATGATCTCAGAAGGGATGCAGCCTAGCATGAAGACATACTCAGCATTGATGGTAGCACTGGGGAGGAGAAGGGACACTGGAACCATTATGGATTTATTGGAAGAGATGAAGACTTTGGGTCTGAGGCCAAATATCTACACATATACTATATGCATAAGAGTGCTTGGGAGAGCAGGGAGAATCGACGATGCGTATGAGATTTTCAAGACAATGGATGATGAAGGATGTGGGCCTGATGTTGTCACTTATACAGTTCTAATTGATGCGCTTTGTGCTGCAGGGAAACTTGATATGGCCAGGGAGTTATATTCAAAGATGAGAGCTAGCAGTCACAAACCAGATCAGGTAACTTACACTACTTTAATGGGCAAGTTTGGCAACTACGGTGACTTGGAAACAGTGAAAAGATTCTGGAGTGAGATGGAGGCTGATGGTTATGCTCCTGATGTTATTACCTACACTATACTTATTGAGACTTTATGCAAGTCTGGGAAAGTTGATCAGGCATTTGATATGTTAGAAATGATGAGAGTGAAAGGAATTTTTCCAAATCTTCATACTTACAACACGTTGATCTCTGGACTTTTGAACCTGGGAAGATTAGATGAGGCATTAGAGCTTTTCAACAGTATGGAATCTCTGGGTGTTGAACCTACTGCTTATTCGTATGTTCTTTTCATTAACTATTATGGAAAGTTGGGCGATCCTGAAAAAGCTCTTGGCACCTTTGAAAAAATGAAAAAGAGAGGCATTATGCCAAGTATAGCAGCATGTAACGCATCTTTATATAGTCTTGCTGAAATGGGTAGGATAAGAGAAGCAAAAGATATATTCAACGATCTTCACAATTGTGGGCTTTTGCCAGACTCGGTAACCTATAACATGATGATGAAGTGCTACAGCAAAGCAGGTCAAATAGACAAAGCCATAAAACTTTTGACTGAGATGTCAAGTGAAGGGTGTGAACCAGATATAATTGTAGTTAATTCTTTAATTGACACACTTTACAAGGCTGACCGAGTTGATGAGGCATGGGAAATGTTTGGGAGGTTGAAGGATTTGAAGCTAGCTCCTACAGTTGTGACATACAATGCTTACTGGTTTAGGGAAAGAGGGAAAACTCCTAAAGGCCCTTGATTTGTTTGGGAGTATGAAAGAGTCTGGATGCCCTCCAAACACAGTAACTTTTAACACACTCCTTGATTGTCTTTGCAAGAATGAAGCAGTTGATTTGGCCTTGAAAATGTTCTGTAGAATGACAATGATGGACTGTAGTCCTGATGTTCTGACATATAACACTATCATTTATGGCTTGCTCAAAGAAGGCAGAGCTTGTTATGCGTTCTGGTTTTACCATCAGATGAAGAAATTTCTCTCCCCTGATCACGTAACATTGTGCACCCTCCTTCCCGGTGTTGTAAAGCATGGAAAGGTTGAGGATGCAATCAAGATTGTCATGGAATTTGTTCATCAGTCAGGTTTACAAACAGGCAATCAATACTGGGGAGAACTAATGGAATGTATTTTGATTGAAGCAGAAATAGAAAAGGCCATTTCATTTGCAGAAGGATTGGCATGCAATTCTATTTGCCAAGATGATAATGTGATATTACCTCTAATTAGAGTCCTTTGTAAGCGGAACAAGGCTCTTCAGGCTCGAAATTTGTTTGACAAATTCACAAAAACATTGGGAATTCACCCAACCGCAGAATCATACAACTGCTTGATGGATGGGCTTCTTCGATGTAATATCACCGAAGCAGCTTTGAAACTTTTTGCTGAGATGAAGAATGCAGGTTGTTGCCCAAATATTTTCACCTACAACTTGTTGCTTGATGCTCATGGCAAATCTAAGAGGATCGATGAACTTTTTGAACTTTACAATGAGATGCTTTGTAGGGGATGCAAGCCCAATATTATAACCCATAATATTGTCATCTCTGCCCTTGTGAAATCTAATAGCATAAACAAGGCATTAGATTTATATTATGAACTTGTAAGTGGTGATTTCTCTCCCACGCCTTGTACATACGGCCCTCTTATAGATGGCCTTCTAAAGGCTGGAAGATCAGAGGAAGCAATGACGATTTTTGAGGAGATGTCAGACTATCAATGCAAGCCTAACTGTGCTATTTATAATATTCTCATCAATGGATTCGGGAAAGCAGGCAACGTCGATATTGCTTGTGATTTGTTCAAAAGGATGGTGAAAGAAGGCATAAGGCCAGACTTGAAGTCCTATACCATTCTTGTGGAATGTTTGTGCATGGCTGGTAGAGTTGATGATGCTGTGCACTACTTTGAGGAACTAAAGTTAACTGGCCTTGACCCTGATACTGTTTCTTACAATCTCATGATCAATGGCCTTGGAAAATCAGGTAGGTTGGAGGAAGCTCTTTCTCTTTTAAGTGAAATGAAGAATAGGAGAATTGCTCCTGATCTTTATACTTACAATGCATTCATTTTCCATTTTGGAAATGCTGGAATGGTGGACCAAGCTGGAAAGATGTTTGAGGAGCTGCAACTTATGGGTCTTGAACCTAATGTCTTCACTTTTAATGCTCTCATTCGTGGGCATAGTATGTCAGGAAACAAAGACCGTGCCTTTTCTGTCTTCAAGAAGATGATGGTTGTGGGGTGTAGCCCCAATGCCGGAACATTTGCTCAATTGCCTAATAAATGTTGATTTACTGAGTTATCTTGTGGGAACATTTATTATGTCACTGATCTCAAAAGGGAGGCATGAAGGTAACTGCTAATGTTTTACTAAGAATGATTTTATGGAAACATAATGTAATTTATTATTTTATTTGATATTTTATTTTATTAACATCTTTTTATCGTTGTTTTTTTGTCCAGGGTCACTTTGCCTTGGAAAAGGCCTTGGAGATTGGAATTGCGTACCAATCTTTCAACAAATGATTGGTTTGCAAAATATATATTTCATTCTGAAAACTGCAGCTGATTAATGGTGATAATTACTTGTGTAAAAAAAAGTCTTCGTGGTACTTAGGACAAATTCTGTACATTGACTGTGAGTATTTCTACCCGTAACTATATTTTATGTTTCCTATACAAACTATATGCTGAGATTACTTAAATTCATACAATTTTTTCGTGATTGCAGGCAGCTTCCCTATTGTATAGATGAGGCTTTTGGGGCTGATTATAGAGAGGTGAGAATGGAGAAGGGGTTGGAGTGTGTGTTGTTGGGAAAATGGGAGAAATAAGGGAATTGAGATGTAATCATATCGTACCAAGATGTAAACCAACGATGAAATATATAAAACATAAGGATACTTTACACCAATATTTGTATAAAAATGCAAGAACTTCTAGATATAAAATCTGTCCGTCAAATTAATTAAAAAAATACAGATAATTAAAAAAGGTGTATTTTTTATTAGGTTGAGATTGATTTTCAGTTCTCATGAATAAAATCAAATTGAACCAAACCGACTTATGAGCATAATAAATTCATATTACTTTTTTGTATTTTACCTATAAATAAATTTGAGGTTATCTTGACTTGCAATTTAGACTAAATTGTGATTTACGATGAAATTAAATACTTTGAACAATAATTGTGTTTTTTTAGTTTTTATTTAACGAGTGTTATTTCTGAATTGAAAAATTAGCTGAGAGGAATTTATGTTTAGGACTATTCTGACTATTTCATTTGTTTGCTGACGAAAAGATAAAATTTGACCCTTGAAAAAACAAAGGTTAAAATCAAAATAATTATTCTAACCCAAATCATTAGCAGACATTGTTTATGTAACCTAAAAAGGAGATATTGTTTAAATAAAAAATTTACGCTAGACTTGTTCTAACTTAACCAGTAAGTACCAAGTTCAAGTTTATACAGATGGTACAAATATTTGAAAGAACTTTATTACCTATAACAGTATTAATCAGTTGGAACATAATTGTCTTCCATAAAAGGTACTCCTATATGTTATCTTTACCAAAACAAAAAAAAAACAACAAAATCCTCCCTCTAAATATGGATTATATTATTGAACTTCAGTTAGCATTTGTTATATAAAAATAATTGTATAACCAAAAATCTGCACAGCTTTACAAATATGATGAAAATATACACAACTCTGACCAATAAAAACTGATAAATAAATTACCCTCAGATACTTTTCTTCAAATACGATTAGAAGTGTAATTGTGAACCAAAGATTATATTCACGATTGTTAAGGTGCAATTGTCTGTACCTTGAGAATGATCAAGCCTGTGCTGGAATAGCTATCAATCTCACACAGGTGGAATTTTCTATGTACTCAAGGGATGACTCACATCTGGGCCCAATCCTCATTAGTCTGATATTGAAAGTTTTCTCATCATAGACACGTGTGGCTGTATTAACTATACAGTATACACCATAAAAGGCACCACCTTTTAGCTCTATACTACTAAAAAATTCCATTATTAGACTCTTTCATATAGCCCTCAAATCTCAATACACTTTGTGATCAACACACTTTAAAGTCATCGGTTAACTAGGCGTATTGATTTTTATAAAACATTTATCAAAAACAAAAAGTATATTGAAAACACGTATAAAGACTGTTACAAATATTTCTCCAAGTCAAGATACCTCACCCTTTTTAGTTTATATTTCTCTAGCATAAACACTCTTTACTGAGCTTAGTGGAGCATTCTTGCAGATTGTTGATCATAACTACAAAATTACTGATATTTGGAGCCGCGTGTAGAACATGCAGAACATACATTTTAAGAGTGAAAAGTAGACAAGAGAGGAAACGGGAGGGAGAAAAAGTGATATTCTTATGGAAATCGTAATAGCTGTTGTGTATAATGTGAGTTGAAAGGAAAATGATCATGCGGACGCATTCTAATCACTGATGCACACTACATATATGTATATTGTATAATATATGTATATGATACAATATTTGAACTGTTGCTAAGGAACAATACTAACTTTCACTTCTCTCTAGTTTTGTTTCAGGTTCAGCTTGTCCGTTTGAAGAGGATTGCTCTTCTGCAGGTGCACTAGACTGAGCAGGTCTTTTGAACTGCACCAATATCATGGTCATGTTGTCACATCCCTCGCCACCGGCAGTTGATGGTGCCAAACACCGGTCAAGTACTCTTTCACACACTACAGAAAGTCTCGTTTCCTGCAACATAAAATAATCATAAATTAGACGATTACCCAGATCAGCCCATAGACATTATACAATAAAATAAGCACTTCATAAATACAGAACATAAAAAGGCAACTGGTCATACTGATTTTATCAGAAATGGCAAAATGCTAGAGATTGATTTAAAGAAAATGGCTATTGTAGAGAAGTGCATTAAGTGATAAGCAAGAGATGGATTAAAGATCGCTATTGCAGAGAAGTGCATTAAGTATTAAGTGATAAGCTAGAGATTCAGTAAAGGACAATGGTTATTGTAGCGAAATGCATTAAGAGACAAAGAAGACAGTGCGACTCTGTCCACCATAAAAAAAACATGACATTGCTCAGCGGTATCCTTTACTAATTCTCTCCAGTTACTACAATCATAAATGGCACAGTTATTATTCGTCAAAGTACTAAGTACTGCATTAAATACCATCATCAATAAGCATAATTTGTGAACCAGTATGACAGCTACTTCTTAATGAGTTAATTCTTTATCATCTCATGAGAGAAAGGTTAAAACTAAGAACTCACCGAGTGCAATTGTTCATGAATAAAATCTACCAGTTGTTGACTCGACATGCAATCCCTGAAAATCATGAGGAGAAATAAATTATTATGTTCAGAAAGGAAGTCTGAAGGCATAGACATCTGTAGATTTCTCTCTTTCTCTGCAAATTACCATTTTTTGAATCACACTTGGTGTCAACTATGTTTTGGTAGATGGCATAGACATGCTAAGACCTCAACTTAAATGTATCTCCAAAAAATTAAATGAAGGCATTCGATTGATGAAAACTGAAAATAGGGAAATTCTATGTGATTTCTGAAAGAGTAATGAACTGATGATATGCATAAAATGATACATTTGTATAACATCATCTTTTGTGTTTATCTCTCTCATCCCGTCATTTACATTTTAAATCTCTCTCTCCCCATTGTACAAACTGGTTTACATGTATCATTTTTCTTTTGAAACTAGAGGCTTTTGCATCAGCGAGTAATTTTAAAAGATTAGTGTAGTTTACTCGTTTATATGCATGAAACAAGAAACTTATCCCACCCACAGAAGGGACACATGACATTGTCTTTCTAGTATGCATAAAATGAAGATCAGTTGGTTATTACATTTTAATAATGTAAGTGACATCTTCCAAATACATCATAACATTCAAAATCAAATGGGAACGTGGAAGTTTAAGAAGAATACCATATGCCATCACAAGCTAACACCATAAATTCATCTTCGTCACAAAGCTCAACCTATAAGAAAATATCAAATCAATAATAATATATCAGTCACTTAAAGTTGAATACTTTAAAGTAGCAGTAAGCCCTATGCCCCTTCGCGTGCATTTTATTATGGATCCTACATATAGAAAAATGGAAATGGTGGCACATCTATGAATCACTGGGGCAGCTAGCAGGATTATATTACAGTAACAAACTTACAGTGTTTATTTCTGGATTGGCAGTTACAATTTGTTTTTCAGCAGGGAGAAATTTA